ACAATACAGGGCCTCACTACACAGAGCAGACTTTTAGTGATCCTCCTGTTTCCAGCCTCCCAAGCGCTGGGATTACATGCCAGGTCTCAATTGCCATCTCAGTCCACCCCGGGGGTGGGGCAAGCAGGGCACACCAGGGACCAGGAATCAAACCCCGGACCCTGCGATTTCCTAAGCAGGTACTTTAATCTGCTGAGCTATCTGGCTGGCCCTCACCATATATTTTGATCACGACTTCTATTTTGTTGATCTTCATAAAATATACAGAACACAAAATGTATTCGTCTAAGCATTTTATGCAGCTCTGTGGCTCGAGGTCCGCTCACTGACAGGCAGCCGTCACCACCACCCATCTCCACAACTTTTCATCATCCGACACTGAAGTTCTGTCCCCATTAAATGCAAACTCCTAGCCTTCATCCTGTCAGCCCTTGTCAACCACCATTCCATTTTCTGTCCCCATGAATCTGACAAGTCTTCGCCCTTATGTAAGTGGAATCATACCATATTTGTCCTTTTGTGACTGGCTCATTGCATGAGCATAATGTCCCCAGTGTTCATCCGTCTATGAGTCAGAACGTGTCGCCTTCCTCCCTGAGCTGAATCATGCCCAGGTCTTCGGGGACTGCAGTGTCCCCTTCGGGCACTGCCACCAGGTCAGACTGTTTACTGATACAACCCTGACCCTGAGCTCCCGTTTGGGAAAAGGCCTCCGAGCTCACCTCTGCCTCATGCTGGGTCACTCCTTGCCTGTGTGACCTCTCTTGTGGTCTCTCATGCAGGAACCTGCCAAGGTTTTTGTCCTTCGCAGAACGCTGTCCTCCAGGACTGTGTGCACCCTGTCATCCTCGGGCTATCTTCTGATCCACCTGTCACCCTGAGTGCAGAATGGTAGCCACTTGCCTAAACTGGTGTGCCCTGATGCCACCTTTGCCTACTCCATCCTACCTGCCAGATGGGTCCTGCTCTCTGTCTTGTACAGGGACAGATACCTTTTGAAGAGATTCACCTTTAGTCCTGTCCACATTCCAATTTTCTTCCCTTTTATACCCACCACCACCAAATATTTCTCTGCAACTTCCCCATACCTGTCGAAACCCTGAGTGCTAGACAGACAAGATGAGCCCAGGAAACATAGTCACGTGCACACTTACAGCCAGAGCGAGTTCCTTCCTTGGGTGATGACCCCTGTGAATCTAGTCAGGCGTCTGGCGTCCACCTCAATCCATTGGTGGAGGTCATTCCTGCCTGCACACCATGCCCCATCGTAGAAGTCATTCTCATTAATGCCTGCCTGGAAAGAAAAAAAAGGGGTATTCTTCAGAAAGACTCTGAATTGAAGAAAATCAAGACAAAGCTTTTCCTGACACTGAGAATAAAGGAAGACAAGGAAAAAAAAAAAAAAAAAGAAATAGGGTATTGACAACAATTATTGTGCTCTGAACTCTTCATTCCAAATCATAAAAGGGAGTTGCTTAGCGTTAACAAATTAATATCTCAATATACATCCTCTTCTTGCCTAGTGTGAAAGGTGAAACTTAATCAGGTCTCCTATTTCTCATTCATCCAGCACACAAAAAGTATCTCCTACACACCAGCCCACACACACCAGGTGCTGTGCAATCAAAGGTAAATTGCTCCTCCAGAACCTTGCCAGCCAGGCAGGAAGAAAGACAGATGAGCTGGAGCGCAGCGAGGCAGGCACTATTCCAGGAGGATGAGCAAATCGCTGTAGGTGCATCTAAGGATACCTGCATCTCCGAAAGACTGGTAGGCAGGCAGTTAGACATTAGTGGGCCCAAGGCACAAAGCAGGGTGGGGGTGGGTGGTCAAAATAGCACACGTTGCCAGTTATAGTTAAGACACAGCGGCTTTATGTATAATACAATTTAGTCATTTGTGAGGCCTCAGATTTAAAGTGATCCCACAGAGCACAATGACATCTTAAGGTTATACACTGTGTACTACCTGTCCAGTATCTGGCCACCTGTCCATTGATTTCTAAAACAAGGCATACAGGGTTCCTGGATGCCATGGTCTATAGCCACTGACCTGAGAAAGGGGGGCATTCTTTAAAGGGGGGCATTCTCTGTCTTTGGGCTGAGGTTTAGACTCTTACATGATTCATGGTCCTCAGGGAACACTGACCACCTTAGAGGAGCAAGGAGGACATTTTTGAAATATCAACATTCTCAAGTAACTCTGAAAAGAAATATCAGTAAGTTAATACAGTGTATAAATAAGAGAGATAATTATCATAGTTCCCTAACCACAAAAGTAACCCATGTGAACATAAAAAGGTATCAAAACTCACACTCAGTGCAGATGTCTCTGACACTGTCCATCCTGAGCTCTCTCTCTCTCTCTCTCTCTCTCTCTCTCTCTCTCT